GCAGGATTTGAAAGTAAGTCGATCGGCGGCGAGTAGAGTGTAATGAAGTACGAGGCTCTCGCTTTGGCAGCTCAGAAGGTCCGAAAGGGTACATCCCCAGCAGTACCGCGCACATCCATGATTGCATTTACGCGTGGGGGCGCATGTTCGGCGATTCGACGGTGGCGTCGTCAATCAAGCGCCAACCAGCATCGATGTCAACATGCTTGAGCGAGCTTCAAGGGCCGTAGGTTGGATGGATACCGAACTGATCTCGTCTCAATGTTTGACATACAACTTCCTTCGCTTACATGCCATGGATGCACATGCTCGTCTCGATCAGACCTTGACGGCCCGAGATTTGGGTTGAAAGCAATGCGCCAAGTGATTAGATTGCTACCCAGCGGTACTCGATCGTTGCTGTCGTGGGTTGTGATCGTGGCTGCTGAGTATGGGTGTACAGTGGTGCATACTGGTGCGGCAAAGCTCGGCGCGCCGACAGCGGGCGCCAACGTCGCCTTATTTGTTCGCACCTTTCTCCTCCATCACTCTTCTCTTCTGTCTCAATCCTCCCTTTTCCCGCTGAAACGTTTTCGCGCGTGCTTTTCATGCCGGTCGCAAGCACTGTTGCCGAGTCTTTGACCGCTCACCAAAGGCACTCTGCATCGCTCACAGTGCTTCTTCCTCAATCCAAGGCTTCCCGTTGTTCACTGTTGATTCGACCAAGCATTTTCGCTTTGCCACCATTTCCATCTTAGCTTTCGCGCTGGTCGCGAACGCAGGATCCCCTGTTGCTTTCATCTTTTCCTGTTATTCACCCTCTCCAATTTCGCATAGTCATCGGTCGCACATTTGCCGCACAGCAAGAGATCCGCGAACATCTTTTGTCTAGGCTGCAAGCTGGGGTTCGACAAGACTTGCAACGTGCACTGTCCTTTGATGACGTGTACCTTTTCCCCCACGGCGCTTTTGCCCGCCCACCACCAGCGGCAACAAAAGCAGAATGGTTTCCGCGCCACACTGGCCAGTCGGGTGACGATTGCAGCGTTGGCACTGCTGTGTATGGTGTGCGCGCTGATATTGTCCAGCACGAAAGCATCCTTGCTGCACATCACTTCCACCAGCACCAGCAAGCCTCCTACCGATATGCGCGGCTCTAGCGTTTTGTGGAGGAGACAGCCGCTTTCCAGCAGACTGCTTTTCAAGACGGCACGAAAGATACTGCTCAACGAGTCAAAGCGCCCGTCTAGACGGCCGACAAGACCACCCACTGCAGAAGAGTTCTTCCATCGACCAGATCCGCTCGCCACGCCAGACTTTCGTTCCGCAGCCTCTGGTAGAACCTCTTTCAGCGCTGCGAGCTCCTCATCTCGCTTTTCAAGTCGCCGTCCGCTGCTCAAGACAGTAGCGGAGAAGCTCAAACCGAAGCCGATCGGTATGGGATGGGCAAAAGGTGTGATGGAGTCGTCATATGTGAAACGTGAGAGGTGCATTGTAGTCTCCCTGCCAGAAAGGACGCGATGAGCTGATGCGCCGTCTGCTTCCTAACGACGCGAAACGCGACCAGAGGCCAACGTGTGAGTGTGAGAGCCAGCCGATGAATGGCCTGCGCGGTGCAAGTGACTGACTGATGCTTCAATGTTGATTTTACGACTTGGCAGCGGCGGCATGCTTCTCACGACCCTAGCGATTCCCTTGTACGCAACCGCCAACTCGATCAACTCCACCAAACTTCCTCATCGCAGACGAAGCCTGCTGGAGGCATCCACATCCACGAGACGCGCAGCGCCTCCAAATCGCAGCGCCGTCGCATCTGATCGGGAGCACCGCCGTTCTATGCATGTGGGCGCCGGCAGATTAGCTGCTCGCGGCTTGGAAGGGCTGGGTCGCCTGGCTGGCGAGATATCGGGGCTTGAGAAAGCAAAGGGCGTAGCACAAGCAGGTCTCAGATCCAACAAGCGACTCCGAGAGGTGTGGGAGAGCGAAGCGTCGCCGATCAGCCCGTTGTCCGATCGACCGGGCACGCCGCACGTCGCTTCTGGTCTAGGAGCCTTCAGCACGGAGAGGACGACGAAAACTTCGGCGCCCAATTTTGGCGCATCCCGAATCAAGCCTACAAATCAGGGACGTCCCCGTCTTGCTAAAAGTGTGAGCGGCAAGTCGGATATCTGGGGTGTAGGATCGACGCCGAGAGGTAAGAAGGCGCGTGGAGGGGGAGGTCGAAATGCGGATTACAATCAGCAGGCCTATGACGATTTGATGCGCAATGTCCGGGCCGATCCACGAGCAAAGATACCCTACGTAAAGGACCTCCCGCCAGGCGTGCCTCAGCCATCTTCGCGCGCCGCAAATCGGCCGCCATTCTCCTTGCCCCAGCTAGGGATCGAGAGGGACAGAAAAGGCAACGTGATCAGGACGAAAGATCCCAACGGCAAGGAAGCGGCAAAGTGGGGTTCCGCAAAGCATTTCCTCGCCACGACTACGCTCCTCGCAGGGTTTTCCGGCCTTTATCTGGGAGTGCATGCTGTGATCAACGCATCGCACATCCCCAAAGCGTCGAATAATTCGTTGTATGCTGTCCCAAAGGGAACTCCTTCGCACCCTCGGTGAAATCAGGATCGTGCTCTGGCAATGCGATGCATGTGCGGTATTCGTGGGAGTCGGTCTGCATGAAGCAAGCAGAGGATGACTGTAGCGTTGACGTTCTCCAATAAAAAAGGTGACTGGGATCCTGTAGAGCCATCGCAATAGGCATAAGGGTAGTGAACAATCGGGCTGGGTCGGTGCTATGCAGTTGTGCTGCATATATGCTGCAAACGGAAGTGAAGCTAGACGTCGCCATCCTCGATCCATTTCGCAATTCGATCCCAAGTATCTTCACGATCCTTGCCCCACCACGAAACTGTGGAAGAGAGCGAGTGAGCAAGACAAAGGAACAGGTCTCTCTCGGCGCTGACCGAGACGCCAAAGACTGGGAGAAATTCACTCACACAAAAGATAATCGTGAACCGCATCTCGACATTCGTCGAGCCAAACGGTCCTCTCCTCGCCCAATTGTATCGCTCCAGGCTTTTCACGCCTGCCCGCCCTAGATTTTTGAGTCTCCTGCTCCTTCTCGGTCTGTTCCACATGTTTTCCATTGCTTGTCGTATTAAAATTCTCGGTGACATCATTGTGTTCTTCAAATTGCTGCTCAAAGTGATTTTGATGTTGGTGCAAGCTCCAAGCGGGCGTGAACCGGTCCGGGAATTGCACGTCTAGATTGACAAGGGGCGTCCCTCTTGCGACGGCCTGTGCCGACTCTTGAGGTCTGGGGTATTTCAATCTAGCAGCCAGTTCAAAAGGATCTTTGTCCTTGCTCAACGCATGTCCTACGTATTTGGGTATGCCTCGCCTCGTGCCGCTCGCTAGACGGTGCGCCAGCGTTTGATGTTGGTCATAAGATACTTCTGCATCTCCAGAACATATATAAATGCGCTTTGGAAAACCTTCGTATCCCCAATGCGGACCATGCACGTCTAGCTGTAGCGAGCAAGATGACAAGTAGCCGTTGCGATACGCTTCAGATGCTGGCAAGTCACCCAAAAGGGCCGAAACTGCCGTATTTCGAAAGCCGACAGCCGTGGGTATAATGTCGCTGTTCTTGTTCGTGAAAGAGGAAGACATTTTGTTGGGTGCAGTCAGCGGACCTGCGTGGGATCGAGAAGTGTCGACCCATGGTGAAAGAAGCAGCAAGCTGTGCAATCGAGCAGAGGCACTGTCAGCGACGAGCTGCGAGAGCGTAGGGGGCATGCGCCCATGTGAACTGACCTCCCTGCCATCTCGTCGATCTTTTCGTCCCGCAAATATCGGCAAATGGCTAGGGCCAGGTTGCCACCTGCAGAGTCTCCCGCGATGATGATGTTTTCAGGCTTAAACTCGCACTCTCTGACGAGGTATCGGTAGCCGGCAAGGCCATCTAGCAAAGCTGCAGGATACGAGCCTTTGGACGATTGGCCAGGCACAGCCAATCTGTAGTCCAGCGAAAAGGTCCTAGTCAGCTTAGCTTGAGCTGCTTCGGATGCTGTGGATGTAGCCCTCGAAGCGTTAGGTCTCTGGCTCTCTCCATCTCGCTGCTTCGCCACCGCAGATCCGTGAAACGGATTGCCAAATTTAGCAGCTCTGAACCTGCGCATGGCTCGCTTGCGTTTGCTTGCGTCTCGTGGCTTGCCAGGTGTCCATGGCGTATCTGTAGGCACACCCCGCGAGTCTCTCAGATGGAAAAGCTTGCTCAAGACCTTTTTGTTGACCGCTGCGCTCACATCGTCCTCGTGAGCGGTGCCGATCCAATAAGCTCCTCCGTGCAGGTGATAGACGACCTGCTCATCCGGCTTCGCTTTTCTTCCCGTCGCGTACTCCACCTTTCTGTCCGGCGTATCGGGCGCATCGCCGTACCAGAAGCCGCAGGTTCTGACAGCTTCGACTTTCTGGATCTCCATCGCTCTCCGGATCTCCCCCTTGATGTGATCATCAGGCAGAGGATCCACCCACACGAATTTTGAGTGAATGGTCCGATTGTGCGGTACCTCCTTGGAAAGATCTCGAGCGAAATTGGTATGCGTGCGAAAGGTCAGCCTGGTAGAGTGCCCAAAAAGCTCCACCATTGTGCTCTGTTTCCAAGACCATCCCGTTCTCTCGCGCTTGGATCGAGGGATGGACTTGAGGGCAAAGTACGGCAAATAGACGAAGCCTACCGAAAGACCAAAATAAGTATAGTAGAGCGCCTTCCAAGGATACTTTGCCCAGATGGGATCGCTCTGAAAATACTCGCTGCCCTTGCCAGTGCCTTGCAGTGGGAATGAGATGGTGGGTATGAGGGGTCTGGGGAGGTGCGCAAAGGGTAAAGAGGGTCTCTTGCCGTCCGTTACGAAGGGGAGGAAAGGAAACCGGCTATGTCCTTGATCCTCTTCACTGGCATCCGATCTGCGAGGGGACGTCGCCCCTTCGCTCCGCGTTTCTGCTGCATTAGCAGACGACGCTTCCGCATCGCTTCGAGGCGAGACCATGCCCGGCACCTCCACACCAGTCGCAGCTCGTGTCGCCTCGTCCGGAGCATTCCAAGCGGCCGCTTCGGCTTCAATCGTCTGGTTCCGCGATCGGCGTGCTGTCTCCTCCAATTTGCTCCGCGCGCGTGATGCGCCTACCGAAGGAAGTCCACTTCTCGTCTTTGCCCCAGGGCCTCTTTGCTGCTCGGAGTCGAGCTTGACATGTATGCTCTGAGTCCCATCAGCATCGCCAGCATCAGGCGCGACTGTCTTGGCGCCCGCTGACGAGGATCCCGTGGACGACGCAGCTGTATGCTCGTCATTCTCCTCGACCTCGCTCGTCTCTTCGCTCGTCATGCTCTTCCTTGACTCTCCAATCCGCAGTCTGAACGGTTTAGCGATAGTTTTGAGCAAAGCACCAGGCTGACGTGATGAGCTAGCGTCGCTGCTCCTACGATCATCACGAGCTTCATCGAGCGTATTCCTATGTGCTACATCCTCCTCTCGAGCCCTAGCCACAATGCTAGGATGCACAGACACCTCTACAGGTAGCTCCCTACCAGTGTTTGGATCCTGCACTGTAAGCTGCGTCGAGACTGAGCTTTGCGTGCCGAGAGATGCAGCAGCGGAAGTTCTAGAAGTCGTGCTGCCCGCATTACTGAAGTCTCTCTGCATAGGGTTGAAGGATAATCTAGCGGGAGCACCAGGCCTGCGCTTGGTCGAGGATGAGGGCGTGTCGATCTGACCATTCGCAGATGCCTCGTGAGTACTGCCCTGCTTCGATGTAGGTGGATGACTGACGGAGGCATGGTTCTGACCCTCTGTGGTGGATGTATGCGCCTCTGGCGGCTCAGAGGGTGCATCCACCTTGTCCCTTGCGGTGATTTCATGATCTTCGGCCGCGGCCTGCTCGGTCCGAGAAGCCGAGCCCAGTTCGACCTCGGAATGAAGGCTTGATATCTCTTCTCGACCCATCTAGGAAGCTCGATGAGGGGAGAAGACCCCCTGTCACCTTATGTCGGTACTGTGCGGGTAGAGTGGGGACGCGGTGACTACAGCGATCGCTGTTTGTCTTTGTCTACCGCGGCTGAAAGGTGCTAGTAAGCACCGCGTAGGTCGTCTTGTGGCCACGTTACGTGTGATCGTGTGACCTTAGTTTGTATCTGGACGTCAGCAAGGGATCATCCAGTGAATCTGAATCCGTGAATTAGAATGCGTTTTGTTCAAATTCAAGATGTTGATTGTCTAGAGCCCGCACGATTTCACGGAAATGCCGTTCTGCACAGAAGTGCCTTACGCGTACTCAACTCAAAGCTCACAATTCTCACAACACGCGCGTGCGCGGCTCATCACCGTCCATGATGCA